TGAAACACAGGAGAAAGGGAGAGACAGCGCTGCCACTACTACGGCACGTTTTCTGTGTTCAGCGTGATTACACAGAAAACGGGAATTCTAAGGGGAACAAAAATAATGAAGGCTTCCCTTTAACGAGAAGCAACTTTTTTTCTGAGAAAGATAATGGAAATAATTACCTTACAATATTGTAAAAATGATGTACAGAGCATTAGCTTTATTTAATAAAAACATTACATTGATTTATGCGAAGTACTGCTCCAAGGGAAACCCGACACGTATTAATTTCCCAAAGATAATGATTAAAATCTATATCAACGAGTCCCTTCTTTCGGAGGGCCTCTTTCGTCGGCGGATCAGCCTTTGGGAAGGACGTACCGTTATCCTTCAGGCAAGAATTCTTTCGCCATATTGTTTTCTAGACTTTATTAAGGTATGATGCATTTCAGCGACTTAGAGATATATGCATTGGATGAGGGCCACAGTGTATATATTCGTCTGTTTATGCATTTTATTGAAATATTTTAAAGTTATTCAATATACGACGGGCCTCGCCAAAGCATTTAGGCCAAAAATAACCGTTTTTTTTAAAGCAGCTTGTATATAATACTATATGCTTCAAATGTGCTCATGTTTTAACTTTTCTAATACTCTGTATTCTTGATGGAGTTGGAGGGTAATGACGCAGAAGAGTGGCTTCTATTTAAATATGGCGGAATGAAGATTGAAGATTGACGGCGTTTTCCGACAGAGATTTCTGCGGCAAAGGTGGAACGACAATCTTGCAGAGAGCCTTGCAGGAATCCTCACCAACCTTCAGCCACGGTTTAGAGTCCTTTGTGCGTAGCCAGCCGTCTTTAAATTATGTCTTTGGCGGCATTCTGCTTGATCAACATTTCATTGATAAACACCTCAGTCTCAATATACGTATTTCATTATCCTTTGATGGCAGTTTCATTCCTCTATGTTTAACTTTTGTCGATAAGCCTACAATACTCAATCGTACCTTTCTCATATTCGTGAGTAGATCTAACGTTCGACTTGCGTGAAAGAAGGTCATAAAAATGGAGATCCCGAAATGCAAGTCAATGATACACCACGGGAAATACACAGATGTTAGAACGACTTTTAAGTCTTCTATGCATACTATACACATCCCTTTCTATTGTAAAAGGATAAATTAGGCAAAAATCACCATAATTTGCACCAAATAATGAGTGAGGTAATATGACCTCAACTCCTGCCGTATGAGGCTACCTCTTACGACATGAAATTGTATGGAACGATCCGTAGAGTAATACTGAAAAGGGGAAGAAAATGTTTATTTACAATTCAACTTAAATGTACACCCCAGCGGTACTGGGAGCAAAAAAACGATTAAGAAACATGTCTCGAAATTAAGGAGGAACCTAAAGACTAATCAAACATCACTACCCACTCTCCAGATTATGCAGACTTCATGTTATTTCCATTTTAATAAAAGAACAGCATATGTGCCAGGTAAACGTGTTACATACTTGTTTATGACTTATTTTATTAAAGATTCACTGTCTTTGTTCAAACTATTGTCAAGTTGAAAAGGTTTGGTAGAGCAACTCATTTCATTTTAGTTATCATTTTTAACTATGTGAATGCATGTAGTAGTAATGTGCTTGCTATAATCTAAGTAAAAACGAATATTTTAACAAATACGTGTATTCATAGATTTGTGAGCAATGAAAATTATTCAACTTTAATGATCAAGTTGATTAGAATGTGCAACTTTAACATGAAACGAAAAATCAATACTACACGCTGTATATTATGCATTTATTTATTCATATATTATCATCATTATCATTTCACTGAAGCGATGTTTGTAATGATTGAGGATAAATTAATAGGCTACCGATGGCAATACTAAAATGATTGACAGGTTGGTAATAATAATTCAAATTACAGTACTGTTACACGTTATATTGTGCCAGTCATTTCCAATCTTTCAAGTGCACCTTTAGGTCAGTAAGAAGCACAAGTATATGTTGTTGGTCGTACCAATGTGGATTTCAGCCTAGAATTTGATGGTAAAACAATAAACGATAACTGATCTGAGTTATTTCTTGTTTTAACGTTTTCTTTACTACACAGTAAGGGGGACTCGTGAAAAAATGTTAAATTTTCGTTTATCCGTAAAGTTACTACAGTCGAAATTATTAACAGATAAATGGATCAGTACAACAAATATAAAGTCAAGTGTCAGTTTCACACAGCCGTATGGTATAAGGTAAACTTTGCCTGTAGTGGATAGAACGAAAGAAAATAAGGCATAGTTTCTGTTGCCCACAACCAAGTAATACAAGATAAAATAATATTATATAATATATAATATATATAATTATATATAATACTGGATAAATGCATTATACATTAACGCTCACATTTTCAAGAATTCAGCTTTACCAAGACTTGCAGATAACAAGTATGTATTAAATCGGATTTTCGCTTAAAATAAACATTTATAGTATTACTAGAA